CCACCAAAATTGCCGTAAATAATAATTGTAGCGTACATGGAGTGACCCCTATGTGTTTATATTATAATGTATAATGAAGGGAAAGTGAGTGCAAAAAAGCCCCAGTCCTGGTGCTGCTTTCTGTTTGTAAATCCCATAAGCTCACCACATAAGATTGTATATAAAAGAGCATGATTTCGATTTTTTTTTAAATTTTTTTTTAATGTATATAAATCTTTGGTAGAATCCATGCCCAAAATTATAGATGAAAAATTTATTGCATGAACACAACCCAGCCATATAAATTTTTTATTACAAATAGGGCTCTGAAACTTGAATAAAATATGTCAGTTTATTATACAGTATTCCCCCCACCCCCAAAGCATGATATGAATGGAAAATTTAACTTGTGCATTTCTGTGGTGCTTCTGCGAGGTGCTGGGCTGGTGGTGAAGGAGAGGAACCTGCTGTATTTCACTGCAGAGCAGGCTCAGCATGGGCAGTGGCAGTGCTGCTTTGCTCATCTGGCATCTCTGGTCATTTTTTTCCTGCACTAGGCGGGGATCACCTTTACTGTTTCCAGGATAGATGTGTCTGCACCTGTGGTAGCTTGCGGGCTGCTCAGAGACTCGGGTTCTGCTGGGGAGCTGCTCTGCAGAGGTAAAAAATGATCTTGGCACCCATTCACTGGGTTTGTGCAAACCAGCAGATATAAAATAAAGAGGGTCACTGCCACCCCCAGTGAATTCCAGGCTGGATTCAGCCTGCCCTGGAAAACACGGTGTGTTTTTGGGAGTGCTCCACAAAGCGTCCCATCTCTCCCCAGTCAGGGAGCCATGGAGTGGCTTAGCACTGGGAAGTGCCATGGCACTCGAAAGAGGCTTTTTTGGTGGAGGAGTGCAACAAGGCTTCACAGTCTGTGTCACGGTCTACAAAAAAGAACAACATTGTCAGTCTGTTGACATTGGTCCTGTCCACGGGCCAGACTTTCCTGGGAAGGTTTTATTCTTTCCAAACAATGGAGCTCTCCCTTCCAGTGCCGCCAGCCCTGCTTCCATGCAGCCGCCGTGCAGCCCAGCTGGAGCTGTGCTCCTGCTGCAGCTGAAAAGGAAAACTGCAGCCTGGAAAGTCCAGAGCTTCCATCCTGGAGCTGGAGGTCCCTGCCTGCGTAGGGTTTGGGATCAGGCAGATCTGGGGCTCGGTCGTGCTGGGGTAGCATATGCTTAAGGAACAGATCCAAAGAGGAACAGAGAATAGAGATGTGAAAGGAAATGCTACTTTGAAAAACTAGCCTGTTTTGTTGTTTGGGGTTTTTGGGGTTTTTTTTCCTTTATCCCTTAATCATAATTGATTCTTGGAAGTAGAGAGTAAAATAGCTTCAATATGTTTTTTTGATCCTGTTTGCCATGGTTGTGGTTGATACCAGATCCCCTTGAGCTTCTCTTGACCAGTAACCTTGAGCCCAGTGCACAGACTCACTCGAACCCCAGCTAGCTCAGGGTTAAAAATTCCAACCACTAACTTTTCTCTAACTAAAAAAGCCCCCAAATAAAACCCATTGTGCTATTCAAGGTTAAGCTTCCTTAAACATAAAACTAGATTCCTTAGTGATTTTTTTTTTTAATCAGCAGTCTTAATAGTGGTTCCTCGCTATAATATTTCCAACTCCATCTGAAATCATTTAAATCCTCCCCTTAATAACATGCACTTTATTGTAATATACAGATTCTTTGGCTTCCTACCAGCCTTAGCTTAAGGCACCAATGAAACTGGTTGCCGCAGGGGGCCGTGGATTCAAGAGGGGCTCGCATCTACTGTATATTTTGTTTTGTATGTTTTCCAATGGCTCTAATTATTGCAGGTGGTAGAATTTAACTGGCAGTGTTGTTGCTAAAGAAAATAGGCATAAAGTGTATACTGCTTTGCAGAGTGGCTATCAAATATATAGAAAAGAGAAAATCAAATGAATTGTTAAACTGCTCTATAGTAAGTGATTTTATTGATTTAATGCAAATGCTTATGAAAACGATCTTCCATTTATATCAATTATGTATGGGCAAAAATTAATTTATTCCTCCGGTCACCTGTTTGGCTAACTGACTCAGCAGGACAGACATTCCCCCTCCTGGTGTAGCCGAGCCCGCAAAACACTAAGCATTCAGAAAACTGGAATTTGAAAGTTTCCATGTGCAAAACAACAAAAAAGCCCCGACAGGAGTTAGTGCCAACTGCTGAAAAAGCAGAGAGCAAGCGGTGGAGGCTGAGCAAGACTCCCTCGTCCTAGGCAAGACTGTAAAACACAACGGCTCTGATTTTGCCAATCCCTTAACCATGTGGCGGCACATTTATATGTGCCGGATCATCTGCGGCATCTGAATAAAATCAGGGAAGCAAAATTCTGCATATAAACATTTTGGCTAAGTGCCTCAACTCAGTCTTCTTATCTGGGGTTTCCACAAGATGCCACCTTGCATAACAATGCTGAGCACACGCTTGCCCAGTCCCTGTTTTCGGTAGCCTCCCATGGTCCCCACCACAGGATTGAGTGGCTTTAATTCTACCTCGTCCTGTGTTTTACTGCCCTGCGCCTCTCCATGAAGAATAGTGCTTAAAGCTGTGTTGTCTTTTCCTGGGAAATTAATATTTAATTTCAGCAGAAGGGGTGGGTTGCAGGGAAGCAGAATTAGGATAAAACGCGATCGCCGGAGCCGAGGCGGTAAGAGGAGAAAGTTAAAGATTCAGCGTGCAAACAAACATCCTACGGCCACCCTCTTGTGCCACCAGCCTTGGTGTTGGAAAAACAGCTCTCCAGGCAGACAAAAGTACTTTGTTTGTTTCTCCCAAGCCAGGAGCAGCTCGGGCTGCGTGTGCTGCCCACCGGCTGCAGGGCTGTGCTGGAGCCAAGGTGCCAGCGCCGAGCCCGGCTCCCGCGGCCACCACCACGGCCCTCCCTGGGTCCTTCCAAATTTTAGGAAAGGGAAACATGCTCCCATTCCCACATTTCAGCAGGAACGCCTCCAAACCTATAAATTTTTTGTGGAATTCCGAGCCTACTTGAAACATAAAGCCCAACCTCTGATTGAGCCATGGCTGGCTGGAGGGGAAGAAAAACCTCAAAAATAAGCAAAAGGCTAATGCCCGCCCTGTAAAATGAAATCCGTTGAATGTTGACTTTGAATGTTAACTAAATATTTTACATTCCTAATATTTTACCTTTGTTTCTACCTTTGCGGTATCGGAAACACGAAACTTCTTGCCAAAATCCAGAATACAACAGCACTGTGCATGTTACCCCCATAGTGTATCTGCTGGCATTGATTTCGGCTTCAGGGAGAGATAATTCAGAAGATCAATATTTAAAACAAAATTGCAGAAGTGAGGAAATTTCTTTTTTCCTTGAGCTTCATTGGCAAAATTATTAAAAATAATAAATACAAAAGCCATGAAATGGGTTCTGGGATGCACTGGGTATATATCAGTTTTTAGGGGAATTTAATTGATTTTAAGTGGAAGGATCATGGCTGAAGCTTTCTTTGCTTTTTTATTCTGAGTGTTTATATTCTGAAATTTATCAAGTTTTGTTTTGTGAGCGCTTTTTTTAACTTGTAGATTTTAATTTATACAAGATTGTCCTCTAAGCTTTTGAATGATACCTAAAGCAGACAGTCAGCAGGTAAAAAAAAATTTGAATATTTAAAATAGGCATTTTCTTTATAGTGCTCTGTGGTAATTAAAATCTTCATTTGCTTAAAAGCAAGGAACCTTTTTAAAGCAATAAATTAGCATTGCTTGACCCAAGGTCACTAGTAGTACTGCTTCTTCCAGCACTATTAATACCTCAAAGAAAAAGAAGGGGTGGTGTTATGACTCTGTTGCAATAGAAGTAAGATTTTCAATTTAATCACAGTTAAGTGTCGTGACCTTTTGATCTTGCATTGACTTCTCACTGAAATGTGGTCAAATTTCAGACAGCTAATTCCAAACTCTGCAAAGTCAAGGTGAAGTCAGAAAATGGGTTTGCCACGATGAGGGGTGGTGTTGAGGCATTAGCAAGTGGTTTCATCGCCTGAATTTTGTTTCACAGCAAAAACTTTTTCTACAGGATCAATAAATCAGAGAAAAATTTCTGGGGAAAGGAAAAAAATGTATTAATTGCAAAAAACAGTGATTTGAGGGATTTCTTTAAAAATATTTTTTCCCACAGGTAAAGGGACTTTTTTTTTCCCAGTTCATAGTGACAGAAATAATTAAGAATATTTTTTGGACCAAAGAGCGATCATCTTCACATTAAGTAGAGTTAATAACATATAAAAAATGCGAAACACTCGTATTTACACATACCCTTTTATAGGTCGTTTTATTATTTTAGGCAAATAAATTGTGCTCATTGGAGAGTGTTAGCTGGGAGTTTGTGGGATTATTTGCACAAGTTCTAAAGCAGGTCATCCAGTATCTGGTCTCACCCCACTGCAAAGCACCACCAGCACCGTGCATTTCAGAGATCTTGTGGTGCTGTAACCACTGTGAAAAGTACGCCAAAAAATCAGCTCTTCCCTCAGTTTTGCAGATTTTGTTCCATAAATGTGTAGCCAACAATCTCCACGACTATGTAGGGTTGCTAAGTTACCTTTCTATGCCTGCTTGGAGATATGTTTTGAGACTTTACTATGTGTTGGAGTAAGGCTCTGGTTTGTATACAACATAGAGGCTGCATTATAAAAAACATGTAGGAGAGTCGTTTAAATATGCCTTCTTTAAAAAGAAGGATTCTCAAAGCTTAATTTATGCCAACACACACCCGGAGCACTCTGTGTAGTGCCATAAACAAGATTCCCTTTTTTTAATTTTTTTTTTTTCTCTAGTAAACATATTACCTAGGCACGGGACTTTTGCATTATCATGTCCTAGTGCAACACTCCTGTCCTCAGTTTGTACTCTCAGCCTTTTGAGGAAGTCTGGCGCCTCTGATCTATTTTCCACAGCAGACCCTGTAATTTTTGGCTGTATTTTATGTTTTTCAGATTCAAGTCAATCTGAAAGTCCCAGCCAGCCAAGTGAAGCTGATATTAAGGACCAGCCAGAAAATGGTAAGTTCTTACCTGCTGCTCCTGCTTTGAGATATTAAAAACAGCCCATATTTATAAAGATTTTTTTTTTCCCCATGTCTAATAGAAAAAGGTGATTCAGAATAATTGACATGGGATGGCTGCAAATAGGTTGTGCACTCTCCTCATAGTTAAAATGCTACTGTTTCACTAATCTAAGGTAGCATTTCTTTGTCTAGTCCTGGAGAGAGATTTTTTTTTTTCCTTCCCCTTTAAAATTAATTTTAATTAGGGAGATACCATTAAAGAGCCTGCTGTATGCAACCCTTATCCTTATTCCTCCATAGCAAAGGCTTTCAGTCCCTGGGCCTTGAGTCATGACCTTCAGGGGAGTAGATACAACAGGAAAACAGATCAGGGAGGTTCAGCTACAGCTCCTTGGTGCTTCTCTGCTTTTCTCAAGTAGCAGTGGCTGGAGTGGAAGCAGCAGAAGGACTGGGACTTTTGGGAAAACTCATATTCTCTGGACCAGGACAGATTTAAAGTAGAAGCAATGGCTTCTACTGAACCAATGGCTTGCTTTGTAAAGCAGCCCAGAAAAAAAAAATCATTCAATAATAGTGGATTTCTGTGGGGACTGTATGTGAAAAGATGACTAAATGTGTAATGGAACAGCTTCTTTTCCTTCTTGTGTTTAGCTAAGGTAGACCTCAACAATTTTTGTTGGCCCATTGGCAACTGAGTTTTGTTTTACTACTTATATTTAGGACTTAGAATAAGGGATGATTATTAGTAGTCATTTTTCTTGACTTCTTTTATCTATAACCAGAACTTTTTTTTATAAGACCTAAACGTAGATTGGGTTATTCACTGTACTTGGGGTCTATGCTGCATACACAGAAAAGAATTTGTGTGAGGGGTTTATGCCTCTGAAGCCCTGTCACCATTTCTGGGATGTGTAAATCCATGTAGAAATGCTGTACCTGTAGTAATACCCGTGTGATTTCCCTTTCAATGAGAAACTAACTGCTTTGCCTTAAACCCCTACAGTTGTGTATGTGTTCAGTGGGTGTTTTGGGGGCTTCATTTGGGGGCTGCATTCACGTCTGGACTGCTTTGGGGTTAGGGTTTAAACAGGGGATAATATTAAGGGAAGAAGAAGATGTTTAGGTACATAAAAACCTTTAAACTACCAGCATGAATCATAGGACATGGAACACAGGGCTCATCGGGCTGGCAAGATTTTGGCTATTTGAGCTCCTGTATTTTCCTCCCATTAGATATGAAAGGTTTCATATTTTGATAGGTTTTGTGCTGTTCATCTCTAAACATACCATCTTAAAACATTGCTGTTGTTTCTGAAAGACAGCGCCTAATTTCCCTTATCAATCCTGTTCACAGAAATTCTAATTTGTAGCCAAAGGATTGCAAGGTTAAGAGAAGAACTGACTAAACTGTGATTTTTGTTCTGCCAATTCTGCTATTTTTTTTTTGTGGGGAATATGTTGCCTGTGTTTATTAAATCATATTTTAATTTAGAATGTATTAGGCACCAAGCATGTTATTATTTCGTGTTTGGATAATATTCTTTCTCAGCTATTAAAGCACAGTTCATCTTACCCTGCAGTTTCTTAGTCTTTAACAAAGCTTGCTACTCAACAACTGCCCCAAAAAGCAGCAGTCTCAGTGTTTAATAATGTAGAATCTGTAAGAGCCTAGTGAAATGAAATATCTCTGATTTGGAGCCTGAGTCTTCTTTGTAAAACAATCTTTCAGTGAATTCTTGAAACTTTGCTGGTGACCTGCAAAAGATACTTTTTTTAAAATTTTTTTTTTTAATTAATAAACAGGAAAACAAATTTTCTCTTTTTTTTTTTTTTTTCTCAGTTTTACTAAAGGATATTTTTTCCCCCACCACAGCAGCAGCCTCCTCAGTGGTTCTGCAGTGTGTGGGAGATTTTCTAAGGCAGAGTGCTGGCCCTGAAGGGCTCGTTCCCCCCGGGCAGGCTGAGCTCATTCCCAGCACACACAGCCCCCAGCTCCAGGGTACCCGGCGTAGATCAACACAGATCTGCAGCTCTTATCTGCTGGACGTGAGGATGAAAGCAAAACTGCAGGCTTTAGAAAATGAAAAACTGCACGCACAGAAACGGACACAATAAATCATATTAACTGCGTTGTTCTACACTTGCTGTAGACCCACTTCCACAGGGCCTGATCCAAATCCCTCCAGAGTCAATGGGAGGATCGTAATTGATTTTACTGAGAGTGGGAATGAGCCCACACAGAAAGGATTTTTTAATTTTTTTTTTTATAGAAGAAAAAATAGAATCGTGAATAATCTCATTCCCACCGATGCCAACAGTGGAGTGACCAGATTGAGGGCAGATTTGGAAGCATTTTTCCATGTGTTTCTGGAAGGCACAAAGAAGTGTATCGATTCAGTGCTGCCTTTTCCATGCATGCATTCCTTCATTTTAAAAAAATAAATCTTTAAAGGCCTTGTGAGGGTTATACAGCCTCTCTACTTGCCTGTTAATATCCTTTCTGTTCCACTCCATAAATTCTAGAGCTATTTATTATACACATATATTTTGCATACCTTGAGTAATGTAGGTTCAGAAGGGTCAACTATACGGCCCTGAAAAAGAAGGCCTCCTACTACAGATTTTAATTTATCATCCTAAATTGTATGTGTTGTTTTGCAAAGCCTGTATGTCTAACCTTCATTGAAGTGAAGTTCATGGGAAAAAAAAGCTTTTCTCTTTTAGAGCCACTCCTGTTTTTTTTCCAGTGGGCTTTGCTGGTTCAATTTCTAGAGCAGGATCATCACAGACAGGGAGGATGGTGACACCTTCTGCTCTCAGTGGTGGCTTCAACACCAACTCTGGCCTTTCCCTCAGCCTTCATTAACCAGAATAGTTTCCAGGCAGTCATCCAGTCACCACTGCAAATATTTAACAGAAATATTAAGCATTTAATTATTTCTGAAGGGAGAGATGCAGCATGGTGGCCATGAAAAGCAAACATGCAGGAGAAACAGGGCTCGTTGGTGCATGGATGGTCCAAGGTCCAGATGTTTTGTGCTGGGGGTAAAACCAACACAGGGTGTGCACAGTGCTGCTCTGTCACCATGGGAAACAGCTTTTTGAGGAGAGGCAGAAAATCCAGAATTCCTCTGTTTGTTATATGGGTGAGGAAATTTGCAGGAGGGATAATGGAAGAGGCCAGGAACTTCATCCAAAAGGCAGGAACATTTTTTGATGTCCTGATATTTTGCTCAAACGAGGGATTTTTTCTGACCAGCTGAGTGGAACACCCATGTGGAAAATTCCCCACTTTTGTAGTTGCCTAATGGTATGTAAAAGCTTCATTTCAGTTGGCACCGCAAAGTGATTTTGCAATTCACCCAATCAAAAAAAAAAAAAAAAAAAAAAATTATTGATTTTAAAAACTTGTTAAATGCACTGGTTTGGTGCCGTGTTTTATAAACAGACTAGTTTTCAGTGAAGTGAGGATGACAAAATGGGTAGTCTGATGTAGTGAAGTGACTGCATGCCTGGGGATCAGGAACAACTGAATTCCCAGCTCAGCACTGCTGTGGACACTCTCTCAGGCTTTTATTCTCACTTTCAGTCGTGGAAACAGCTATCAGATAGATTTTCTTTTTGTAAGTAGGATTATTTTAAACTTATGTAGGGAAACCTTTTGGTCTTTCTGTCTCCAAAGTGGGGATATTTGCAATTCTGGCTTTCAGAGAATATTAAAAGTCGGATCCTGCTCTGCTCCATCAGGAGCTGAACTCTGGAGAAAGGCAGGGAGGATGTGGCAGAGAGTGGTTAATAAGTGGTACAGAGCTGTGCTGCTGCTGTCAGTAAATGTGTGTCAGGCAGTGTTTGTGTTTGAGGTGGTGGCACTGGTGAGTTAATAAGTGCAGTGTAAAGGTGCACACGAGGTGTGCTGTGCAGAGCAGGAGAATGCTGTGTCATTTCTGACAGGCTGCTCCTGGCTCTCGAGCAAAGGGACTGAGATTTGGTGGCTCAGAGTTGGTAGCACAGCACTTTGTAGATGAGCGAATTCTTTTTGAAGAAGTTGGTAAATTCTCCCATTTCAAGTGAGCAGGGCAGCATTCATTATTACAGCTGATTACAAACGTGTGCCAAATCCATTGCTCAATTCCTGAAGAGGGAGAGGCATTTTTCTAAAAAATAAAAATGTGTAATGCCCAAACCAAATGCTTTTTAGCTTTAATGCAGTCTCACTGCTTTGAGCTGCAAGTACCTTAACAGCACTGCAGGAAATGAAAGGCACATTGTTCACTGAAACATTGGAAAAAAAAAAAGAAAAAAGAAAAACAATGATGCACCGTAACTCGCAGAACTCGTTTTTCAGCCCTGCAGTAATTATACTGGACTTGTAAATATCATTTTTGAATTCTTTTGCCTAAGTAGGGTTGGACTTGAGTGTTATACCTTAAAAAAAAGTTTAAGGATATGCTTCCTTTTCCATGCCTAAAAACAGAAAGGAAGAATTTCTGATCCTTGAGCTCTGGGGGAAAGAGAAGGCCACAGTGGGAACAAATGCAAAGAGAATTTTCTTCTTCCCTAGGCAAAGCTGGTCATGGAAGGCATGATTTAACTTTGGATAAAAGGAAGGAGGAGATTATGTGTGGGAAGACCCCTCTGCCTAAACTAGCAGGCTGCAGAGTCCAGTCCCTCTGCGAATGCTTTCCTTCTGGTCACAAATTTAGCATTCCGAGCAGTGGGATATCTTTGGCCAGTGGAAGCAGAGCCTGCCTGCCCAAGGCTTGGGCACTCTGCTCAGGCTCAGAGTTCACTCTTCAGAGCCTCATCCCAAGCAGAGAATGAGGAACAGCTCTTTGTGGCTGTCCCCATCACTCAGCCAATATTGCAGGCTAAATGGTAGCCGAGTGACATCCAGTTCCTCCCACAGCCAAATTTTTAACAAGGGGAAATGTTCTGCCACCCATGTTCTGCTCAGGCCATGTCTGACCTCTCATCTCCACTGCTTCAGGTGGAGTC